CAATATTTAAATCAATGACTTTAAAGAAATGTTAAAATTTATTATTTCTTTTTTGTCGGTAACTAAAATATAATTCAATGAATATGCAATCACAGTCTGTCTTTATTAGTAATATTCCTGACAACTCTGAACAAACTCAAAATAATCTTCGATTTATTCTTAACACTTACGCACCTGGTTATATACCAAATTCACTGAAATTTAAATTCTCTAAAAGGTCAAACCACTTTATTGCGTTTGTTGATTTTGACTCACATGAAAATGCTGTTGCATTGACAAAACAAACTCTTGCTATTCAAACCCAAAATGAAGTTCCTTATAATTTCTCATTGGTGAAGTACAAACAGTCTATATCTTATGGAGCTTATGAAAATAACGTTTTATATGCTAGAAACATAACAGTTGATGAAAAACAAGCCATCAACTCTTTTCATACACTTTTTCACCCAACAAAAATTGTTTGCAAACCAACTGCTTATGACCCATCTTCATGGTACATACTTTCTACATACCAAACAACAGAAGAAGCAAAACAAACTAAAGACTATTTAAATGAAAGTAAGGTACTGGGACCAATGTCTTCTGTTTATTTTTCATATACCAATTCTAAACCACCTCAAAAACACTCACAACAAATCCAACCACCTCAAAAACACTCACAACAAGTATTATCACCTATTCAACCTCCGAAAAAGAAAACCTTACAAATTCTACCACTTACTCCAATAAAACCTTTAAAAGAGAAACAAAGAAGAAATAAACGTTCTTCCCCTCAACCAAGACAACAGAATGAAATAAAGTCATTAACAAGAACCAATAGTGAAGGTTTTTCAGAAAGAGATATTAAAATAATACGTAACAGTTTAATGAACATAAAAACAGAGAAGAAATTAGAAAATTATATTCTAAGAGTGTTAAATGAAAAAATTAGAACTAAGGTTTGTGAATTATGTCAAAAACGTAAACCACAAAAAGAACTTTATCAATTTCATCCTTGTAAACATGTGTTGTGTCTGAGTTGTTTAATTCTAAACTTAAATAAATCGATTAAAGATAAAAAAATAATGAAATGTCTTCATAAGCAGTGTCAGTCTGAAATAGAACTTAACGAAATAAAAAGTATTGACTTAGAATTATATCAAAAATATGACAGTATGTTGTTAAACATGTACCTTGAACAAAGCGGTGATTTTATTCGTTGCTCACGTTGTCAAGGATATATTCACAAAAATAATACAGAATCTGCAATGCGTTGTGAATTATGTGGTGATCTTTATTTAATAGGAAGATAAATAAATTAATGAAATATCAATCAATTTAATTTTCTTTTGGTTTTTCTTCTTCCATTGGAGTATTTTCTTCTTTCTTAACCTCTTCTTCTTTTGGTTTTTCTTCTTCCATTTTCTTTGCCTCTTCTTTCTTTTTCTCTTCTTCCTCTTGTTTCTTTTTGATTTCTTCCCATTCTTTCTTACGTTGTTCTTCTTGTGCTTCTTGTAATTTCTTTTGTTCTTCATCAACTTCACCTAATGAACCTAATGCACTAAACATTTTGGCATATCTTCTTTTATCATTCTTTTCCTCTTCCATTCTCTTTCTTTTAATTCCACTCATTTCATATTTAACTTCTTTATTATTTGGATCAATAGAAAGAACTTTATTAAAATCACTTTCAGCTTTTTCTACTTGTCCTTTTTCTAAATAAGCCTTTCCTCTTCTTAATAATGCCTTTAAGTTTTCTGCATCTACAGCAAGAACTTTATCTGTATATTCAATGACTTGGTCATATTCTTTAAAATGAAGATGCATTGCTGAAATATTACCAAATAATATTGTTTGAATCTTCTTAGCTGCTTCTTTTTGATCTTCAGGAATTCTATAATCATTATCAAGATAATCAAGTGCTCTTAAATAACATCTTAATGCTCTCTTTTGTAACTTTCTTTTAACCATTTCATTTCCTTGTGCCTTCTTTTCTTCTGCATGTTTAACTATATTCTCTGGTGCAATTGTAAATGGTGTTGGAACAGGTTCCATTCCTTTAAGTGTAACTTTAAATGTAATTTCTTTATTTGGCTCAATATTTCTTTCTTTATCTCCACAACTTCCAAATGCATCTTCTGGTTTAAGAGTAAATGTACACTTTTCATTTAATTTCATTGACTCAATACCTTTTTCAAATCCTTCACAAATCACTGGCATATCTCCAACTTTAAATTTAAAGTCTGTTTTCTCTTCAATAACTCTATCACCATCTAACATTGTATAATCAACTGTGCACAAACAATCATCAGTTGGTTTCTCATATCCAGTTCCTTCTACTTCAACTGTCTTTGGAAAACTTTCTTTAACTTCTTCTTCCATTGGTTCTTCATCATGTCCATCTTCACACCCACAGTGTTCATCACCACATCCACAATGTCCACTTTCACATCCACAATGTCCATCTTTACATCCACAATGTCCATCTTTACATTCACAGTGTTCATCACCACATTCACAATGTTCACCATTGCATTCACACTTCTTTTCAGTTTCTTTATCCATCAAATGACATTTCCTTCATCTTCATATCTTTTATTTCAAAGTCTGACGTGGTGCATTTTCATTCTTTTTGTTTTACAACACAACGCCACGTTGATATTTATTTATGTTTTAAATAACAGAAATTAAAATTAGGGTTTTTTAAAAAGAAATAACAAAAATAATGAAAAACAACGATAGTTTATTTGCAGCGAACTGTTAATACCAAGTGTTTGAACATTCATGAGTGACCCTTTTCTTGTACCATTCAAACAACGACTGGCAACTGAAAAACCTAAACCACAAAAAAGAGTTGAACGTATTCAAACTGAGTTTAAATACAATCGTAGTAATGAAGATACTGATAAACAACGACTTACTATGGCTCAAAAACATATTGAAGATATTAAAAAAGAACATGAACGATTAATGGTTGGAGTTACTGATGAAGAAACAAAACCTAAAAGTGTATTAGAAACATTATTTAATGAATCAATTGATCAAAGCAAAAAACAAACATCACTTTCAGATGATCTTCATTTAAGTTCTACAGTTATAACTAAAACAACAAGACATTTAAATAAAGCATGTACAGCTGTTAAAATAAATAAAAATGATCAAAATAAAGTGTATGTAGCATCATTAAATGGTAAAATAATGATTTATGATATAATTACTAATCAATATTGTGGAGAACTTACTGTTCCTTGTATTGATAAAACAAAAATAAGACCTGAAATTTTATCATTAGCAATTAGTCATGATAATAAATATATTGTAGCTACAACTAAAAATCATCATATCCTTATTTATGACTCTTCTAATAATCAGTTACTTGGAACACTTAAAGGTCATCAAGATATTGTTACTTCATGTGTTTTTAGAGATGGAACATATGAATTATATAGTTGTAGTTATGATAGAAGTGTTAAAGTATGGAATATTGAAAATATTAGTTTAATGGATACATTGTATGGACATAGATCAAATATTAATTGTATTGATGCATTATCTAAAGAGCGTTGTGTTACTGGTTCTTCTGATAAATCTATAAGAATCTTTAAAGTAGCAGAAGAGTCTCAATTAATTTATAATGCTTATAATGAAATTGAATGTGTAAGTTTACTAAATGAAACAACATATATTGCTGGATCTTTTGATGGAACATTGTCAGTTTACATAGTATCAAAGAAAACACCAAAATATATATTAGAAGCAGCACATAAACAAGTCACAGCATTATGTGCTATTCAATATAGTGATGTTATCTTCAGTGGAGGAGTAGAAGGAATAGTAAAAATGTGGAAAATAAACATTCCCACTTCATTTAAATCCTCAGAAACACTTTCATTAGAACTTCTGGGTGAGGTTAATGTTGGGGGATGTGTTAATTCTATTGATGTTACAAAAGACCATTCAGCCATAGTTTGTGCAATAGGAAAGAGGTATAGACTAGGTGATTGGAATAAAACAGAAAATGCTGTGAATGGAATATCCATTGTGAAATTACATTGATTGATTTTT